TTCAGCGTCCCCAAACCACGCCGGCTCCAGGGTCGCAAAGGCAGACTGTTGGATCTCACTGGACAGTTAAGCTTTGCAAATGTAATCTCAGCACTGTAACTTGTATTGCCTTTGGTTTGACTATGTCTATATTTTTTTCACAGCCAGCTGGGGCCGAAAGCAGTTTTTCTTTGTACTTAGCCTGGTCTGCATTGATTCTTGACCTTGAACGCAGATCAACTTTCTCTTTATCTCTGGACCAAGCTGAATTTCAAATTAACCCGTTCCTTTCCTCAATAGACAAATTGCTCCCATTGTGTGTCAGAGGCTTTTTGGTAATTAAAAGCTCCTCTGAGATGTATGATCTTATCTAGATTGAAGGTACCTTCTAGTGGGCATTGTTTAGATGGATTTTCACGCGTGTAAATATTCCAATTGTCTAACTACCTGCAGGTTTTAAGACCATAATGTACGTACATGAAATAAGATGGGGTACCCTTAGGCGGTGAGAGGGAATGCTTAGACTGTCCCCCACCCACTTTCCAATCACACACACACAGGGAGGATGCCCTGTCCGCTCTAGCGGCACATAAACTAAGGATCTCTCCCTACAGGGTACTCACACAGGAGAGACTAACGAGGATGGCCACGACCCTCCTACACCTCCCTTCAGCAAAGAGCGTCGGCTAGTCTCTGAGAGATGGCGCCGCTTACTCTCGTTGCATCCAGTGAGATGATCAGACTGTCAGTGGCTCACACAGAGAGGAAAAGGGGAGGGAAGATGGGTTCACACACTCCTAGACCCAGGTAGCTTCCTCGCCGGATGATGCCAGGCCGAGTTAGCCCACTGTGGGTCGGATCTCCTAAAAGATCCTCTAGTTACCGGGCTTGCGTTAGAGTAGTTCTGGTCATGAGCCAAAAGACTTCGCAGAGTACTCTGGGCGTCTTCCGGTAACTCTCAATTCACACTGGTGTACACACACACACACACCAAGGCCTCTATCTCCAAATACCACGATGCATCTACACTATGAGGCAGTAACAACCCCTCTTGAGGCGGTAAAAACCCCTCAGCACCGGTGCATACCTATGCATCTCTCTTATGCATTTGGGGGCGGCCAAACTAACAGGTCCCCAGAACCGCATACAACTACCTTATTGGGGGCGGCAAAACAATTCCCCAAAACCGCTCTGCATCTGATCTTGCTGCACAGTCAATAAGTTCGGATGGCATGAGCCCAACAGGGACTGACGGCCCCACGGACAGTCCTCCTCCGACACCCCAATAGAGATTTCAAAAGGTCTCCTACCTCTATTGTGGCGCCATGGGGTTCGAAGGGGAATGATCCGTAGCAGCTGCCGGTGCCTCTGTGGGCGTTGCCATCCCGGATGAGCCCCCAAATTGTCAGAGAATAACAGAGTTCTCACTTTTTGTTTGGGTACAGCAAGTCAGATACTTTATTTTCTCTCTATCAATTGCATAGAGGGAGAGAGCTAAACAGGTCTCTCAACAGGTAAACAATTACAGCAAGCATTTATACCTTTTGTTACAGACAATAATGAGCAACAGCTGCATTTTGTTTATACGTAGGTCATTCTGATATCTTGTTTTGCTCACTAATGTAGACTCTTAGTCTACATTCCGTATTATCTACACATTATCTACACAAGGTCACAACAACTTCTCACACAGTTCTTTCCCACTCGCCTCACACATTCCTCGCTTCTACAACTCTTGCGTTATTAGGGTTACAGTTAGCCTGACTCTTGCTAACAAACTGTCATCCCCTTCCTGTCAGTTCTTTCTCTGCTTCCACACTCGTTATAGAAAGAGAGGGACACATGCAGAGTTTGGATCTAGATCCATATTTTACCGAGGATCAGGGATGGTAGGTTACAGAGTTCTAGTTCAGACCCCAGATTTGCAACACAAGCTGTACTCCAGATTCTGTTGCAGCATTTGTAAAGCAATTTACACATGCACATGGTTTTAGTGTGCTCTGAAAATTATAAGCAGCTTATTTTGGGGAGGTTACATTTCTGGAGCCCCTTAAGCAAATGGCTGCTAATTTGCATCACAGAGTCTACCCCAACTCAAGTTGTGGGATACCCATACTCAAGACAATCTCCCTGAGCACCTAGAACACATTGATTATTAAAATTAGTCCCCTATTTTAGGGAAGGGTGGTTTCTGAGGGGCCCTTTGACCAGAAACCATAACTTGCATTCTTATTTCTACCCCTAGACCTAATGTTGCTCAGCAATATTATGGTGGTGTCGTAGCTCCACCAAAGTTAAGGCTGAACCAGCATTTCCACTTTAACGGGTGGAAAAAATTCTGCAAAAAAATCTTTCTTTTGGGTTAGAGTGTCATGTCAAAATATTTATGGTAGATTGTGAACTGCTTGATTTTTCTAAAGCAGTTTGTGTGTGGGGTGAATATTGTTTGAGGTTTGCTATGACTGTTTTTATATAGGTCCATGTGACAAAAATTTTCGAAATGTCTGTTTCCTTCAGACCCCTTTTTCACAGAAACTACAGCACTTTGAGAAGTGAAACTGATAGCTGTGATCCTTTGGTTTGTGTAGACGGGATGCAATGTTGTAGAAAGTTGAAGGTTTTCTGTTTTTATTTTTTATGATAAATATAAGTTACTGTTTTGACTGAAGACAGTATCCTGGAATCACGCTGATCAACGCTGAACTTACACCAGTCCTTAGCACTAGGCTCTCTTTTATGGGGTGTTTCCTGATACTCATTGCAGCCTCTTTGATCATGCTAATGTTGAACCACAGTTACTTACTTTTTTTTGATCACACTATCTCCTTATTCTGGAAGCAGGTGAGGTTCAGACATCATGGTTACATTATTCTAATGCTGCTGCATACCAGAGTCTTTCATCTTCCCTCTACTTAATTAATGCTGTTTTCCTTGACAATATTGCTCAAGTAAAATCTGAGTATGAATGTGGATTTTAGAGCACTTTAAAATAAGAGCTCTTGAACCAGAAGCTTTGCTTTCAAGGCAATATTTCCAGAAGGAGCCCCTGAAGAATTCAGGTTGAGAGGGCCACTAATGTGCCCAATGCACATTTTTAGAAATCTGCATAGAGCAGGACTCAAATTCACAGCTCAGGAGAGCTGCTTGTGGTTCATTCCAAACTTTACCCTGACACCTTTTTTTATATGTTGCTTTCCTCAAAAAGGCGTGGGTGCTGGACCCAGAGTTCAGTTCCATGCAGGTGGTATGCCTTTGGGAAGGATAAGAGCCAGAGTTTGAGCCCCAGATGTGCGCAAAAAAGTTTGTTATAAGAACCATAAAATTGTCATCTGACTTGAGGGGAAAGCTCTATCCCAGGAACCTCTTGCTCAGATGACCTCAAATTTGGACCACTAACCCTGCCCCAGATCCCCACCTAGCACAGCAATTCATCACGTCAGTCTCAGTAAGCATGTGGATTTTAGAACACTTAATAAAATTGGCTATTGAACAGTAAGCTAGTCTTCACATTAACTAGAGTGGTGCCACTGTCCCACTATAAAACAATCCGTGCTCTGTGACCAAAAAAGGATTCCTCTCATCAACTTCTTGTTTTGTATGTTAGCTTTAAAAACACAATTGGGAGAGCACAAAAATGCAGTTTGAGAAAACATTAAAAAAAACGCTGCTCCCCTCCCCTGTAGGATGGATGGTGTAAATAAAGTAAATGGAATTTAAATGATCTAGTCTCTCTAAAATAGCTATTCCAAAAAGACTTTTTCCTTGTTATTGCACCTCCCCCATCAGATGCTGTGGGCTTGTTGTTCCCAGGTACAGCATTCACTGCTGCGCAGCAATAAGGGTTTATGGAATACTTGAGCCTTTGAATTGTTTCATGTTGTTTAAAATTAATTATCTTTCACAACCTGTGCAGCTTCTAAAGAGAACAGCTAGGCCAAGATTTTTAACATCTTTAAAACATTGGAAGAATATGCTACATTTCTTGTGACATCAAATTATAGTCCAGAGTTCCAGCCTTGAAACCCTGTCCAAAAAGCTGTGTTTGTTGTGTGCCAGCAACCTGATAAAGACCTTTGGGGCACTATACAGTTGCTGCTAGATCTGAAACACTGAATAGAACAAATATTTGAGAACATGCTTCCTTAGTTCATTATTTCCCCTTTCACAAAGCAATAGTCTGGGCATTCAGACAAGGCCTTTGTTTATCCTTGAGACCTTTTCAGCAGCAAAAGAAAGGAGGTGCCAAAGGATAAACTAGATTTAGAAATGAATAACAGCAGATTGACAACGCTAATAGAAAACACTTTCCAGCACAGTACCTTTTCAACGAAGTGTGAATTTTGCCTCCCTAATGTGTGTATCCAAGTGACTTCCAAATCAGAACATACAATTGAAGTCTCTTATTTCAAACTGCCCAAGTTGAAATAATACTTAACACTTGCATAACCATTTTCATTCATCTGAGAAGCTTTTTACAACCTTTAGCTGATTATTATTATTATTTATTATTTTATTAACAACTCCCCCATCAGATAACCATTGCATAGCATCATAAGGGCTGGTCACAATCCTGCCTTATATTTGTAGTTTCTCCAAAACCTTGTTAAAGACACATCCTTGCTACAGGAGAAAACAATATTCTTTAACAAGTACTCTTTCAAGAAGGCTTTGTGATGTTAAAAAAGTCTCCTTAGGTTTGTGCATTGAAAACATCACCCCAGCATAAGGGGCCCTTCAGTGCCTAGTGTTCCACTTAGGTTGAAATTAAACCCTTAATGTGAGGCTTAAGTTGTATGTAAGGTTTGGAAAGGCTCTCTGCTCTGGCTTGAATATTATCTTCTAAGAATATTGAGGAATGCTCTTGAGAAAGTATCTCCACAGGTATGCACTCTCAGGTAGTTTGGAACAGTTCAAAATTGGCCTAGGATGCTAACTCAGGATGATATCAGTGAATCTTGTAAATTCTTGAGCAGGCACCGCCAGTGATATCACAAGCTCGATGATCTGTCTGTCTAATGTAGGTTACTACAGAACTGGTGGTCACGACGCAAGATCAGGAAAGGAGGGCAGTTATTGGAGCATAAAATTTCACTACCTCAATGGGAAAAAGATTGGAATCTGCAGCCAATGAATCTCCATGGCTTAATGGATGAGTACTTAGAGATGGGTGAGCAAATGTACAGCAATATGCAGTTTTCTTATGGAAATCAGCAGCAGTTCAATGCTTTTCCTTTTTAAGGCCACATTTGTTTTCATTTTCTAATCTGGCAATCTGTTGTTAGTTTTACAGTTTGGCTTTACCACCATCTTCGTTGCTGCCTTCCCACTGGCACCGCTCCTGGCATTGCTTAACAATATTATAGAAATAAGACTAGATGCTTACAAGTTTGTTACCCAGTGGAGGAGACCTATGCCTGCAAGAGCAACAGATATAGGTAAGAGAGCATAATGATACACAGTCATTGTACTATCAGCTCATGTTTTATTCTCTTAAACCGCTAATGCATGTAAAGTTTTAAAATAATTGAAAGGAAGTGGGTATAACAGGCTAACTACAAATATCAACAATGGCCAAAATGTTAAATAATAGGAGTCTGAAGTTAGGCTTTAAAACCGGATTTTATCACCTAAATAAATTACTTTGTTTTTCAGACGTCCTGAGCACCCACAATTCCCAGTGAGAGATCATTGTTTTGAACTCTTTTCTTGATTTTAAAGGCCCAGCTTTAGGCTACTTATTGAAAAAAACCTCAGGGACTGAAATGATATCCAAAATTACTGAATATCAATGGACTTTCAAAGCAGAAACTCTGTGATGTTTAAGAGCAAAACTGACTGGCATAAGGAGATGAGACTCTTTGGCCATAAGTAAAATTCAAGCTGGATTCAAGTCTCTTTTTGCCACTTTTTAGTGGCTTATACTTGGGCCTTCCTAGTTATACTTTTTGGCACTGAGTTATGCCTTGTTAAAGAGGTTTGACTTTACAGAGAAGGTGATCTGCTGCACTGAAGATGTACTATTGATATAATTGAGAATGCTCAGGAAGCAGTGATGTTAATATACAGCTGTGAGGGGTTCTCTGGACAGATTGACAGCACATCTGATAAGGAGTAACACAGGTTTATGGTTGGTGTCAGCCTGTGGAATTTCTAGCCTTTCTGCTTGATCTAAGAGTGACTGTAAGTAGGAGACAGTATATGTACCCCCATACAGTTAAGCAGCATTCACAATAAAAAATTTTCTTCCCTACTGATCTCCATTGTAACAATTCTTTGTTTCCTCATCTTCACTCTCTTGAAAAGACTGTCCTTTTGAGTTTATATACTTACAAGGTTATAGTTCTAAAACAGATTTGGGCATTTGGGATTTACAGATTGGATCTAAAACTAGAAGGAACCTATTGTGTGAATCTAGTTCGGACACAGCCCCTGATGGCAAAATTCATGGGAAGTTTAGCTTAATCCTAGTCTGGATCTGTACATAACTTTTTTGGCACAATGATTGTGTTTCTCAGTAAACAAGAAAAATAGTATAAAAAGAATGTTCTTGTTCTATCAATTGATTCTTCTTTCTCTTAGGTATCTGGTATGGAATCCTTGAAGGAATTGGAGTCCTGGCTGTCATCACTAATGCATTTGTTATTGCAATTACTTCTGACTATATCCCACGTTTTGTCTATGCATACAAATATGGCCCTTGTACAGATGAAGGATACAGACAGGAAAAGTAATTCAGACGTTTTCTATATATACTTCCCCCCCCACACACATTAACTTTATACTAAACTTGATACTAAACTGCTCAAGGTAGTTAAGACCAAAGCAGACTGTGAAGAACTTCAAAAAGATCTCACAAAACTAAGTGATTGGACAACAAAATGGCAAATTAAATTTAATGTGGATAAATGTAAAGTAATGCACATTGGAAAAAATAACCCCAACTATACATTTTATTATTTTTATAATGGAGATATCCTATCTCCTAGAACTGGAAGGGACCTTGAAAAGTCATTGAGTCAGCCCCCTGCCTTCACTAGCAGGACCAAGTACTGATTTTGCCCCAGATCCATAAGTGGTCCCCTCAAGCATTGAACTCCCAACCCTGGGTTTAGCAGGCCAATGATCAAACCACTGAGCTATCCCTCCCCCCTACAGACAATATGATGGGGGGCTAATTTAGCTACAACTAATCAGGAAAAAGATCTTGGCGTCATCGTGGATTGTTCTCTGACGACATCCATTCAGTGTGCAGCGGCAGTCAAAAAAGCAAACAGGATATTAAGAATCATTAAAAAGGGGATAGAGAATAAGACGGAGAATATCTTTTTGCCCTTATATAAATCCATGGTACGCCCACGTCTTGAATACTGTGTACAGATGTGATCTCCTCATCTCAAAAAAGATGTACTGGCATTAGAAAAGGTTCAGAGAAGGGCAACTAAAATGATTAGGGGTTTGGAACAGGTCCCATATGAGTGATGTAGAGAAAGTAAAATCATGAGTGATGTGGAGAAAGTAAATAAGGAAAAGTTATTTACTTGTTCCCATAATATAAGAACTGGGGGCCACCAAATGAAATTAATGGGCAGCAGGTTTAAAACAAATAAAAGGAAGTTCTTCTTCACCCAGCGCTCAGTCAACTTGTGGAACTCCTTGCCTGAGGAGGTTGTGAAGGCTAGGACTATAACAGGGTTTAAAAGAGAACTGGATAAATTCATGGAGGTTAAGTCCATTAATGGCTATTAGCCAGGATGGGTAAGGAATGGTGTCCCTAGCCTCTGTTTGTCAGAGGGTGGGAGATGGATGGCAGGAGAGAGATCACTTGATCATTACCTGTTAGGTGCCCCAGAGGGAGTGAACCTGCATTGGCCACTGTCGGTAGACAGGATAGTGGGCTAGATGGAGCTTTGGTCTGACCCAGTACGGCCACTCTTATGTTCTTATGTTATGTTCTTATCTTGCTCTGGAAGTGATATTTTCCCCCATTGTCCTTCCTGCATTCTGTACATTGGATCAGTAGTATTTTGTCCTTTATAGTTACACAAACCTGGCTGTATCACATAATTTCCTAAGCAACTTCCACAGAGATGTCTACTTAAAATAAAATCACGATTTTCTTTTCAAAATCCCTTCACCACAGTGAAATAAGGTGACTGGTTTAAACATCAACAGAGGAGACGAATGGGACAAATGAGACATGCACATAGGCTCATGTAAAATTTAAGTATGTAGCAACAAGAATTGGTATCTGTAGTGTGTGTTAGCACTTTGGCCATTCAACATTTAATTTGTACAATTAATTATAGCAGAGGAGGAAATATGAAATAAACAAATGAATGCTAATTACAAAAGTTATAGTCCTGGATTTTTCAAGTGCTTTTGATCATCATGTCAGAAGAAGACCGTTCATAACCCTAACATGGAAATTATTCAGACAAACTGCTGAGATAAGGGTAAAATTGTATTTCACATGGGGGAGAAGTTCTTGAAAACTTTTTGTCTTTAAAGTTGTTTTCTTTCTCAAATAAATAAACATGATGAAGAGTTACATAGAGTACTAAGAACTGCAATCAGTGCTTTGTAAAGTATGTCTGTATGATGGAAAAAGTTAGAAGTCCTATAACTGTTTTTTACATATAGCCCTAATTTTCGAGAGTGACTGGTGATTTGGGGTGTCTCAGTTTTGAGGTGCTGAAATTGAGACATCTTAAAGGGGGCAGGTGCTCAACTTTTGAGCTGTGTCAGCTCAAGCACCAAGATAATGAGGCACCCAAAATCACCATTCTAGAAAATTTAGACTTTAACTTTTCATTTTGGTGGGGTGTGGTTTACTTGTAGATACAAAGTATTACAAGGTCATAGAAATGTTGGGCTGGAAGGGACCTCAAAAGTCAACAAATCCAGCCCCCTGTGTGGTGGCAGGACCAAGTAAGCCTAGACCATCCCTTATAGGTGTTTGTCCAACCTGCTCTTAAATACCTCAAATGATGGGGATTCCACAACCTCCCTTGGAAGTATCCGGAGCTTAAGTACCCTGATAGTTAGAAAGTTTTTTCCTACTATCTAACCTAAATCTCCTTTGCTGAAGATTAAGCCCATTACTTTTTGTCCTGGAGACATGGAGAACAAATGATCATTGTCCTCTTAACATGTTTGAAGATTATCAGTTTTCCCCCTCATCCTTCTTTTATCAAGACTAAACAGGCCCAGTTTTTTTTTAACCTTTCCACATAGGTCAGGTTTTCTAAACCTTTTGTCATTTTTGTTGCTCTCCTCTAGCTTCCCTCCAATTTGTCCACATCTTTCTTTAAGTGTGGCACGCAGAATTGGACACAGTAATGCAGCTGAGGCCTCATTAGTGCCAAGTAGAGCAGGACAGTTACCACCCATCTCTTAGATAAAGCACTCCTGTTAATATACCCCAGAATGATATCAGCCTTTTTTCAGAACTGCATCACGTTGTTGACTCAGTGTCAATTTGTGATCCACTATGGCCCACAGATCATTGTCAGCAGTACTACCATTTAACCAGTTATTCCCCATTTTGTAGTTGTCCATTTGATTTTTCCTTCCTAATTGTAGTACTTTGCACTTATCTTTATTGAATTTCATCCTGTTGATTTCAGGACAATTCTCCAGTTTGTCAAGTCCCTTTTGGATTCTAATCCTGTGCTCCAAAGTGCTTCCAACCCCTCCCAGATTGGTGTCATCTGTGAATTTTATAGGCATATTTTCCAGTCTGCTACTGAAGTCATTAATGAAAATATTGAATAGTACTGGATCCAGGACTCTCACCTGTGGGGACCTCACTAGACACTCCCTCCCAGTTTGACATAGCAGATGGGAACAGTGGTCCACTTGTTCCAATATCTTGTCTTGAGACAGGCCAATCCCAGATACTTCAGAGGAAGGTGCTAGGACTCCATATTGGAATAATTTGCCTTATGCCCTTAGGCAGTTAGTGGCTGGCTTATGCCCTGAAGCAGGATGTCTTTATAACCCTGACAAATGTTTATCCTACCTAACGTAACTGTGGTTATTCTTATTTTTCACATAAATGTCTAATTTGCTTCATTTTGGCCTTGTGATAATGAGTTCTGCAGGTTAATGAGGATGGTGATTATTATCTTGTAGCTGTGAGTGCCACAAGTTAATTACATATCTATGTTCAGTAGTGAAGCATTATTCTATTCAGCTTTACTGTGAAATAAAGGGACCAGCATGACATGATTTTTGATTTGTTTGGCTGCTCATCAGAGTGGGTCATGTTGAGATAGCCAGCCAAAAATAAGCCCAGGATAATGAGCACAGTCACAGCAGTAATATTTTTGCTACTGGAATTAATTCTTCAACATTCAGGTTTTAATCTTTGGGGAGGGTTGTTTGGTCCCATCCATCACACAGGACAAAAATAGAAGGGTGAAATTTGAAATGAAAAAGTTGTCTTTTTCACTGATCAGAGTTCATTTTGATAAAATTGGTTCAGCATTTAAGTGCTCATTAAAAGTAATGACCAGCTAGAAAATTGTTTATCTTTGTTTACTGTTCATGGCTGGTACCTCACAATTTCTAAAATGTGAGCTGACAGCATGTTTTATTGTGCTTTGGCTTGAAAGCTATGCATTCAATGGGGGGGGGTACATTAAAACTAACTTTGTAAATATATTTCATTATTTTATTATGTTTCCTTACTTTATAGTTTTATTTGTGATTTTAAAAGATGTTGTCATTGATGCAATAAATACCCCCTTGTTCCTGGGAGATGACTTTATTTTAACTTTGTTCTGTTCCTTATAGTTTCCTCTTGCCCGGTTTCTTGGGTTTTCACCAACTCTTGTATGGTCATCATTTCCCTCCTCCTTGTCAATGTCCCCTTTGGCCTTTTTCATCACTGGTGGGGGGTGGAGTTCAGGAGGCATTGGATAGGATAGATTCTGGCCTCACTAGATTTGATAAATAATCCTCATAAATTGTTGTTGCATTGGATGTTGCTGCTACTGCTGATGCTGGCCCACTTAGGGGAGATGAAAGCTTATCAGGGAAGGCACTATGTTTATACTCCTCCCTTCGGCATGCCACTTAATATGCACTTATTTTTGTCACATAAAGTCACAAAACCATTCAATTCACAGTGAATTCAGTTGGAGCCTTAACATAGTCTTCAGTGGGAACTGGGCCATGCTTCATGATAGCAAGCTGCTCAGTAAAATTATGCTGTGGCTCTTTCTCATTAACTCCCCTACACCACTGTGCAGTAGGAGGAGACAAAAGGCATTGTTTTTTAACATGCTTCTTTTCAGAGAACCAAATTGTGATTTTCTGTGAGAATGACGATGGACTTCCAGTTTAAAAGAAAACTAACAAGATGATTTTGGGTACATATGTTGCAGTATCTTAGAAAAGTAGGGTGTTGCTACCATTCCTTTTAAAGACCTTTTTAATAGCTCAGATTAAAGGCTGCTAATTTTTCTTGTTCTTCTGCATCTTTTCTTAAATCCTCCTTGCCTTTCAGGAGGCACTTCTAAACCAAAACTGATTTAAGTAGCAAGGATAGATTTTCTGAGGAAGAATAGATAGCTCATAATTTTTTTCAGGGACATATGGAACCTTTCACCTCTAGGGTCATCAGTCTGTATGTAGTTCCTGTCAGTAATGACCAAAAATTGTTGCCATGAGATGGCTCTTTGCTATCTGTGAAAAGCAGTTTGGTGCTCTCCATTTTGTTCTGAGTGGGTAAAAGTCCAGATCATAAAAGTCACCATCACATTGGCCCTATTTGGCTCCATTATTGGCAGAATCTGCAATGAGACTGAACTGCATTTATTCTCTTTACAGGAGGTCCCTTCAGGTTCAGGTATTTTGGCAGGACATTGTGAAGAACCTTACTTTGCTACTGAATGTGCTGTATGTGTTCATTGGATAAATAGTGAAAATCAGCATCCAACTCCTTTTGAATGCACAAAATTCATTTAAAAAAAATTTGTGTGAGGGTTTATCCCTGAAACATCCATTGACTTTATGGCACTCTTTCAGCTAAAAACCTAGACACTAAATAATAATAATAATAATTAATAATAAAAATAATAAAAAATAATAATCAAAATATTTGAAAGGCATACCATAATCCTTGACATGCATTGGTGATGGTGGGAGATCTGTGAAACATGTTTTGCATGCACAATCTATGATACAGTTGCTCTTTGCAGAAAATATTGAGATTGTGTCTTTTCCTTCCAGATGTTTAAAGGGATATGTCAACAGTAGTTTATCAGTATTTGATCTGAATGAGCTTGGTATGGGATACTCAGGATACTGCAGGTATGTGTTAAAAGCGCAACTTGTTTCATCTCTATATTGAGATGCTCCTTGTTCTTTGAGAATATTTGATTCTAATGGAAATTGACATCTATAACTCCAGGGTTTAAGTTACTGTCAGAAAACAGTTTCTTTTATTATTTTTGTTTATTAGTATTTCCTTTATAAGTTTGTTTGATATAGAGGTTTCACCCCTCTGTGGGGAGGCCGTGCGGCCTAGTGGATAGAGCACTGAACTGGGAGTCAGGAGACAAGACCTCAGTTCTGTTCCTGGCTCTTTCACTGGCCTGCTGCGTGAGCTTGGGCAAGTCATCTCAAGTGTCTATGATTCAGTTTCTCCATCTGTAAAATGGGGGTACCTCTTTTTATAAAGCACCTGGAGATTGCAGATGAAAAGTGCTATATTAAGAGCACAGCAGTATTATTATGCTTCTGGTTTAAAACCAGCACAGGATTTGCTCCCAGTGGGAGTAGGCAGAGTGAGTACAGGGTATGCAGCAGAGACCCACAATGCAGGCCGAAGAGAACTTTTTCCTTTAATTTATCAAAGCTGTGCAAAGTGTTTGCAACAAAACTCATACAAGTGAAACACGTCTAGTTTCAGGTTTACTAGAAATTGACACTTAGCTGAGGCTGGCTGAGACATTCCAGAAGTAAATCAAATGAACCTAGGCCTACTTAGGAAGAGATTCACTTGAACTTGAAACTCAAAGTGAATCTGGAGGGTTCTGCTGTATCAAAGCAAAAGAAAATGCTTGTCTGACCCCCTTTTGAAATGAAACCACTATGTTAAGCTCAGCCCTGTTCAGTACTCACATGCACTTCGAATCATTTTCCTCCCTTTTTTATTGAATTGCTACTGAAGCATGTTTATAGTTATCATACGTCCTTAAACATTTGTATTTAGAATGGATAATTTCCATTCCTTTATTCCTCATTCTCCGGTCATATTCTAACCCCACATATCATTTTGGTGATTCTTCGTTCCAGCACCTCTGTAATGATCGAATCCACATGTTATTTCAGGAGTATTCTTACCAAAGGACATTTTTCTTTGTGTTACAGATATCGAGACTACAGAGCGCCACCCTGGAGTTCAGCTCCTTACGAGTTCACCTTGCAGTTCTGGCATGTCCTAGCTGCACGGCTGGCTTTCATTATAGTATTTGAGGTTAGTCATGGATTAGGAGAGAAATGATACTACTTTTGCTGTTCCACCTGTGTAAAGGTCTAAATCAGATATCCTACAATGGGCCCAAAATCAAAGTACTGGTTAGTATCATAAACTAGGTGATTACACCTTATGCTCTATGGAGAGACAACGAAGAGCCAGATATATTAGAAAATGCCAGTACTGGTCAACTGCCTCATGCTGGGAAACTGTGTTGAGAAAGTTTGCACAAATTCTACAGATTGTTTCTAGAGCCTCATTTCCTCTGTCCAAACTCATCTGGCATGTAGATGTCAGTCAAATCTTCGTGAAGCTATAGAAAAAAAAACGGAATGAGTCTTGAATGTACATTAAGCTAAGTTAGGTTAATTGGAACTTAGGTTTGTTTTTAGGAAGTTTGTTCCTGTTATACTGTACTGCATTGCTTATATGAGGGGTTGCTTTAGAAACATCTTGCATTACATTTTTTTTATTTACATCACGTGTCAAATCCTGGTCCCACTTTTGCCATTGACTTCTATGGCACCAGAATTTGGTCCTAAACAGAACACTTCAGCATCTTTGAACAAATTATTTCTGTTCTTATTTTCAGCACCTTGTTTTTGGAATAAAGTCTTTCATTGCCTACCTGATCCCAGACATGCCCAAAGACTTGTGTGACAGAATGAGAAGAGAGAAATACTTGGTCCAGGAAATGATGTATGAGGCTGAACTAGAGCATTTGCAGAGAGAGCGGAAAAAGAATGGGAAACAGTATCACCACGAATGGCCTTAGTTGATACCGTATAGCAGCAAAAACATTCCATGAAAATTGACTAGTGCAGGTCTCAAATGAAGGTAGATCTGGCAATGAGGAGCAGTGTGTATATATGCTGCTATTGGAAAATATATTAGCAGGCTTTGCTGGGTCCTGGAAAATACATGCTTCCAATGAAGAAAATGAATAGCCATATCTGTCACTGGTCCATGGTCAATACCAGGAGTTGCTATCAGTTCATTAGAAAGTGTAATGAGGGGTTGAGCGCTTGGATGCATCAGTAAAGCAAGTTGCAATGAACTTTCATGCTATTCATCAAGTCATCAACAGCATAATGAAAATAAATACATTGCCTGTAAAACTTTCATATTAAGGGCATGACTAAAAATCAAGTTATATATCATCTGCTACTTCTAAAGCTTTTGATTGTTCAATTGAAGTTGTAATGCCTATGAAAAAAAAAGTATGATTAATTGTTGCCTTTGTGGCCATAAATTGATGTTAATGATCCTTCAAGCTTACTGTTTGTCAGGTTTGTTCTAGTCTCTTGGTGAGATTGCAGATGTGATCCTGATCTAAACAGGGGACACAAGGCTGTTCGATATATACTATGCAGTTCAAGGTTTGCACATCACTTCTCATCCATCTGTCTTTATAGATAAAGCCAAAAAATTCTAAATTCAAAGAAAAATCAGTTCCATTGAAAGAATACATCAATGCATTGCCCATGTTGCAACTATATTTGAAAAGAAATGTGACTATTTGAATTGTCTTGCCATTTTTATATGCAAAAAGGCCATCTCCACATACTTCCAGGCTAAATGAAGAATCATTTCCATGCTAAATGTAGCATGCAGATGAATGTGTCAATATTATTTTGTTTATCTACCTAGATAGTGATTCTATGACTTCATAAAACGTTGACTTGAAATTTCTATTGCAGTGCAAATAATTTACTCATGTATATATAGTTAACTTTACAGTATGCAAGCTACTGTCATTTATGCAGATATATATCAAATATACAGTATAACATCATGACTTGCTTGTTCAGGGAAAGAGAAGCAGAGTACTGTATAGCACCACTCTGTCTATTCCAGTAATGTGCATTCCTTATCTTGGGCTAAATACATCAAAGCATGGAAAAAATATGTATATTACTGTTAGGATTAGATTTTTTCTGCTTTTATGCCGCCTTGGGGTAATATTTTTTTCAAAATCAGCAGAAAAAGTAAATGTTCTCACAGAGAATTGAACTTCAGTTTTCACATCCATACAGGAAACTGCATTGTCAGTTCTGGTTAGAGTCATGAAATTGTCTTCATTTTTAATATTTCATAATACGGGAGAAATGAAGTACTAAACTAAAACAAGTGTATAGGATTCACTTATGGAAAAGGGGGGAACTAAATCGTCCTGTTTCTCATTTGTACAGTTTTTAAAAATGGTTTATTTCTATCAGATGAAAAGAATTAAAAGAAAAAAAATCAAAGATAATTTGCTTCAGTTTTAAGACTCATGTTAGGATGCAACAAAGCACAGAAACTATAGCAAAGATAAATTCTAACGTCAGTCTTAAGGATAAAGCTGCAGTGAAATCACTTGTTGGCTGCAGACAATGAGAGGAATTGAAGTTTTCCTTCTCAGAATACCTTATTTAGGTAACAAGTATAACTCCACTGTTTACCTGCACAAATCCAAAATGCATCTTATTTTATTATTTCAATGCCAATAAAAGAGGAAATTTTTTTAATAGGAATATTATGCTAATGTACCTTTCTGTGGGTCTGATCCAAAGCCCATTAAAGGAAATGGCAAAACTTCTGCTATCTTCATTGGGCCCTACATCTGACCCTCACTGAAGTTTAGTGAGAAAATCCAGCTTTTTATGACCAGATAAGAAAACTGCCTGGGTTTCCACAATTTGGCACCAATGGGGATCTAATCAAAGTTTATTAGCCAAAAATTCCACAGCACTAGCTCTGTAGAACTCTGTAGAATGGTTCTATTCAAGAGGAAGGGTTTCCATTATACTCTGTTTACACTGTATTCTCGGTGTCACATGATTCTTAATAAGAAATTCTTAATGTGCTTTTGTCTTGTGCTTAAGACATCTGTATTGTCTGGTTTAATGTATTAACTCCCCAGCTTTATAGCATCCTAGTTTAGTTTTATCCATTAACTAGTATAGGGTCACAAATGATGTGTCTTTTAATGTTTTAACAAAATGCCTTGGCTGGAACAAGGCAGAAGGACTGGTATAAATTTAGCCAAAAATTTATGATTAATATTTCTACATGTGGTTTTTGTTTTTTTGGCCTGAGGATATTTTCACATATCAATGTATAGCTGGAAGAATTCCAATTGGGCATTAAAAATAAAGAAATAAGAAAGGAAATGTTTTTTGTAATAAAGTATGGTCTTAGATTTGGAGATGTACAGCAGTCTTCTATAATGACTTTCAATGTTGAAATATAGAAGTACGTTAGATAGGAATATATAAATTTGACATTGTTCAGTTAATTTAAAGTGCTGGGAAAGCACAAGAACTTCTGGAGAAATAGTGTGTGTTTTTGTTCCTTTGTTTCTATAGCGTATCAACAATATCTAAAGGCATTGCCTCTATATAGGAATTTGTTTTAGCTGAGAACCTTTCTGCTAGATTTCATTTAGTGTGGTGTTTGCACAAAATACAAATTATCTTACAAAGATATAAGGCACACTCTGTCCTCAGGAATTATGTATTACATGAATGCTGATTAACCTACATTTTCATATTCTAGATATTTCTTTCCAAATAAATGACCAGTATAAATGACTTGTGCATGCAGGCTTCATTTATGAAGTCTCCAAAGCTGCAGAGCTTCAAAACGTAGCATCTGTGCAAAAATGCTTTAGATCATTCCCGATCTAGTTTATAATAACTTTGTTCTATGCATGCACCTTAAGAGAGACCGCATGAGCAGGTACAGTACAGCTTTTTAAATATTACAGATCCTAGTCACTAGTACAAAATGTCTTAACTATTCCTATCTGAACTCAGTGTCTTGATACAATCAAAAAGGAATCTTCATTCCAGAAATTAAAAAAAACCCATCAATTTAGCATTCATCTTTTTCATCAACTTAGATTTTAAATTTGTCCTAATGTGTGAGATCAGAAATCTGGTGGTTGAGAAAAAAAAAAACAATTATCCAAACAGAGCTTGATTCAAAGAATTCTGTTGCATCATCCTCACTAGTATTTACTTTCTGCCACTGAAAGTGAATAGATCAATATATAGATTAACAGCTCAGTATTCATACTTGGGCCCTGACTGGAATTTCTAAAGTCGAAGTTTGGACTCTTAGTACAACAGTACTGTGTAAATGTACACTAGGGAACTTTTAGTGCATGCCATTAGTGTCTTCATGGGCCAATTAGTGTGCAACCATGGCATGCTTTGGAATTCACACCCCCCTAGTGCTCATGGCTGTGCCATGTAAACAAGCTTCCGATTGGCACTTGGAATGTAAATGCCCACCAAAGGATAATACACACACTGCTGGATTGGGGCATCTTTTTAAGGTGTTTTAAAGATGAAAACTAGTCCCCAACATGTGTATTTTTTCCCTAAAACTCTCCTCACACGACTCTTACATAAAGATTTTGTAGGGAAATTTGAGAATACCTTTTTAGGCTGATCTCAAAAACAACAAGCCTAAAGTTTCCATGCAGATAATATACCATAATTGTTTTTCTTTAGAAATATGTTATTTCATTTTTACATAATAAGCACATCAAGTGAACTATTACTGTGAATTGCACATGTGCAAGAGCAGTGATTCTCAAACTATGTTCTGTGGACCATCAAAGATACATAGGACCCAGTGTGGATTTCAAGAGGTAGATCCATAAAAGGATCCCTCCTATGAAATAGTCTACAAAAATTAAAAATCGCTTGGGAATCACAGCTTTAAAGTAGGTGTTGGTTTTGCCATTTGCATTTTATAATATTTGTTCCTATGGGTTAGCTCATTCTAAATAAAAAAACAAAATAATTTGAGATCTACAGTAGTCTGCTTTGAGGGATTTTCTTACTGTGACTTACTCTCCTGTAAATTGCAAACGCTGACACTGACTCAGAGAATTTGTGGGATGACTAAAACCATTGTCATTTACCTGTGATTGCTTGTGCTTTTTTATGGACTTAGTTCATCTGCTGGATTGTGCCATGATATGGTTCATTCCACATCAATTAACATAGGCATGTTAACAAGAGTTATTTCCTTTTTTGCTTCATTTGAAATCCCCCTTCTTCATTTTAAAAATCATATGGCTACTATGATATAGATAACTGCATTTTAGCATAAATACTCACTAAAATAAGTGTAAACAAACTCTTTTTAACATTTAGTGGGCAACAAGTTTATAAAGAAAATTCATTTTACTTAAGTAGCTACATATGAAAAGAAAAAAGTTATAGAAAGATAAAACTAAATAAACTTTCATGTGCAAGGCGTGATATAAAGATGGAAATAACTGAGAAGTGCAAAGTAGTTTAGGGATAAGTTCACTTAACATTCCTAATAAAAGCAATCTTCTGTCCAACAGGAAATTTTTCCTGTTTTGTAATTTTCACAAAAGACTGAAGATGATCACTCAGGACAAATGTATGGAAATTGAACATGCAACCATGTTTGTGTTTTTACATAATATTGCAGCTGAGACTAAAACTCACAGGAAATTTGGTATGTAGACAGACTGTTATACAGGGCAAAAATCAAAGAAATTATTAAGCCTGTCACAGCACACCCACGCGTGGCTTACTGTACTAATACAGCTAAAGGGTAACATTTTCAAAACCTCTTAAGTCTCTTATGAACGTACGCCCCATTGAAAATCACTTATACAGTTAGTCCAAACTCTTTATCTCCTCCTGTACTGTATCCATATTGGTAAAATTATATATTTTACGGTGGTAGAATGTAACAATCCAACATTGTAAAAAATCCACTTAGGAACAGATGCAGTATGGT